CCCCTCCCCCCCCCAGACCGACCGGCCCTCCCCCCCGCTAAATATCGTTCTGTCCCTTAGAGCTGACAACTAGAATAACTCGAATGTCTCAAGAAGATAGAAGAAACGTGTAAAGCCTAGATGTAGATAGAACTTAGCACAGTCTTCCTATTTCTTATTTGTAACCAACGTACTGCATTTAGCCACATTGGGGCATAAATATGCAGTAAACTTCATTGTCATTGTCATTATAATGGTAAATGCATGGCTCTTCTTCTTTCTCTTTCTTTTTTTCCCCAAGCCTGACCTCCGTGACAAGTTGACGCCCATAGAGGTAGCAGTCACACACAGCCTGGATGACCGGCCTGGAGCGGTCCTTCCTCCCATACTGGACCATCATGCACGGCACACTGTTACCGATCAGGTTTGTAGCGCCTCTCAGCGGTTCTAAACTGCACTGCAGCTTTATGTGTTGCTGTGTAAAAAGGTTTTAACTTTTGTTGATCCTTTTTCTTCATTACATAAGCAATATCAAGAAATCTTTATCTGAATCGTATTTTTAGCTTTGTCGTCACAGGCAAATGCCTTTTCCACGCTGTATCTCTTGTAGGTACAACAATAGAGATGTTCTTGAATTGACACTTGACTTTGCATGTACACGTTTGACAATTACATAATTTTAATTTCTTCAACATTTCAGACAAATATCCTGAAGGACTGTGGCAAAGACAACATTTGCGACACCGACCTGAGAATAACAGTTTCCAGGTAGGAACTCACGACCGATATATATTGGCCACAAGATATCATTATGAAATCTCTGATATCTGACACATGCAAATTTTTGCATCTACATGAAATAACTATAAATAACTGACACATGTCCTGAATTATAGAATGTAATGATACTCTCCTCAAGAAAACGTACAATAGTTAAGCTTTGGTAAAATAGTAATCTAGTATAGCTAGTATCATTGTGGATTAGCTCTGTCATTGTTAAAATTGTATTTTAGTATATATATAATTGATGTATAGTTGTTTCTTCTTTGCCATACATTATACCAGTTACAGTTGTTGAGTTGTTAAAGCAATAAAGTTGATTTGATTTGTTTTCTTAGTGAGAGGAAAGACATCCTGATCGGGACGCCGTACGACTTCATCATGCACGTGGAAGTTCGGAACGCCGGAGAGGGCGCTTACGAGGCCGTCATGACCATGGACGTGCCTGACGAGGTGGACTACATCGGGTTCCACAAGAAGTCTAAGGTTCTGTCTATTTTTATGTAAAAAAAGATCTGCCTAGCAATTGAAAAGTCTATTACAGGTTACTAGTACTTCGCTGTAAACTAAAAGTCACAAGCTTTGTTACATGTAATAGCGTCCGCTAGGTGTTTGAGTATTGCAAATGTATTGGGAAGCTTCCGAAGTTGACGCCCATAGAGAGCCTTCCTGAATTTAACGAACCTAACAGTCCCCCTTGAACATGTTGGTGGTTGAGAAGAGCTTTGCGTCACCTACTCCAGATCAAAGTTTATTTCATTGGTCTGAAACGTGGAAAATGTATATGATCATCATCTATAGCTCAATCAGTCAATGTATGTATTTTGAATAGATACATTTTGATTTTTTGTTTTTTATTCTTTAGGATGCCCAGGTTTCCTGTACCAACGACTTTGGCGTCGTGAAATGTGAACTGGGAAACCCCATGGAAGCAAACGAGACGGTTAGAATAATATCAATTATTATTTATTATCATTATCCTTATTATTAATGAACATTTTGATTCTTTTAGCACTCTGGTCTGCTAACCACTTTCTAGAGTTATTTCAGTCTTGGCAGCCCAAATGCTTAAATGATATCGGGACATTACATAAACTGCATGAAACGTCATTTAAGCAATTTAAAATAGTTAACAAAAACGTAACCATCACTTAAAAATAATGTGAAAAAATGCCCGCAGGACAATGTGCTTTTTAATAAAGCAACACTGGAATGTTATGGTAAAACGTACTGAATCTAATATTTCTGTCCCACAGATCGGCATATATCTCAGGTTGTCCGTTTCTCGACTGAGTGGAATGAATGATTCTGTATCATTCGTCGTGCAAGCAAACAGGTAAGTTGACAACTTTCTAAGTTGTTTTTACGTACTATACACTATCATATTGTGCTTTAAAAGTTCACATTCCTAATGGAACTAAACAAAACAAACCATCCATCGAAAAACATATCTGTTCCTTTATCTTTACTATAACTGAAAAGCGAGAAGTTGAATTTATCTAACGATAGTTAGTGTCCTTTTGTATCTGTTGACTTTATCTGCTCATCATGTTTTGTTGTGACCTGTACTTAGCCCAGCGTGGTAAAAATGTGCAAGAAAGGTCATCATTCATTCTATCACATTGTGCTAGAAGTATAGAAAAAGTCATTATCTATTCTTTCTAATAGATAATGACTTTTGTGGCTGTATACAATTGTAATGTTTCTTTGACAGATTTTTGCGTTTTTTTCTCAAAACTCTTTTCTTGTTTCTGTGTTCCTGCAGTTCCAACGTAGAAGACCAGACCACGAGTTTTGACAATGAAGCTATTCTGACGTTACCTGTGCGTGCCTTCGCTAATGTCGGTCTCCGGGGGTATGTGATTATTCTTTGTTTGTTTATTTATTTAGAATACAAAATTACAACATTAGTAATATAAAATTGTACCACTTTGTATCTAAACCAAGTCAATAATTTGCTCTCTTCTTCTAGTAGTCTTTTGTTGTTGAATGATGGATATAATGTCGCCATCATTTCTTATAAACAATTTGCTGAAATGTGAGTTTCTATGTCTGCAGTGTTTCCATCCCAGAACAAGTTATCGTGAAGATGAAAACTAAACAAACGGAGGACCAAAGTGACGAGAGCGGACCAGTGACGGTGCCCCCTCCTCCGAAACCGCAGTTCACACACATTTATGAGGTAAAATACGTTTTCGATAGTAATGATGTTTGTATGTTAAAGTAAACGTGAAAAATGTGGATTCTAGGAGTTAGACATATCATAATTCCTTGTACTGATCAAGTACATTTTTGTATTTCATTATCAGTCTGTATCTGTATCTGTATAGCCGGTATAACCGCCTTTAGGCGTAACACACCAGCTTCTGTATCTGTATAGCCGGTATAACCACCCTTCGGCGTAACACACCAGCTTCTGTATCTGTATAGCCCGTATAACCACCCTTCGGCGTAACACACCAGCTTCTGTATCTGTATAGCCAGTATAACCGCCCTTCGGCGTAACACACCAGCTTCGCAGGCACGCGGCGCGGCGGCAGCTGGCTACATTACACCGAACGACTTGTTACACCTATGGGATACTATTAAACATCATATTGTATCTATCTCTAATAACTGTATTCTTTGTTGCTCTTCAGATTTTAAGTACAGGTCCGAGCACAATAGGAAAGTCGGAGCTGAAGGTGTACTTTCCGGTTAAAACGGTAGGGGGCGCTAGTTTCATCACCCTGGGGAACATCACTGTGGAAGGGGACGGGCAGTGTCTCGTGACCCGGATGTTGGGGTTATCAGAGTTCAACATTACGTCTGTCCAGGTATGTTGAATACATTTGAAATTTTACCGCTAAAAGATCTACCCCCTAAAGTACAAGTAACTTTATTTAAATGATTTTATTTCATTTCAAAAAGAATAGAGGTGATAAAAACATACATATGAAGTAAAAGGTAAAGTCGTGTAAAGACAAAAATCTAAATAATCTAAATCATAAATCTAAACAGTTGGCTCGGTTTGAAAACATAACGTTTCTAATTAACCAACCTAACATGAAGCTTACCCCATTTCCCAATGTTTTTTTAACTTTAGAATATTGGTCGAAAGAAAACTTGAAGAAATTTCTGACTTTCTTTTTATAGATCGGACAGCTTTCCGCCACAGCGTCACCTAGCGACACGGAACCGCCACTGCAGGAGTTGCGGACGAGAAAACGTCGCCAAGTGTCCAAAGCCGCAGTCAGAGAACAGTTGGTGAGACCCGTACTTCGCTGCTGATTCAAACATCCGACTTTAACAACTCCATCGTTTCTCAATTTCTTTTATCGTGCTGTTGTTCTCCTCAAATGATGTACTCCATAAGATTAAAATTGTAATACTGGGAACTTAGTATTACAGTTAGTAGAATATTCCTAAATCAGTGATGTTTTTATAAAGATGAAAAAAACGTACCTCAAAATTTCCGTTGTCTACTGTACATCTTGATCACGGAGTGACCTAGTCTCGTGAGGGTACCGTCAGTTGTGGGGCGGACGATCCACCCCCAAAGCACGGAATGGGACAAGGCCCTTGTGTGTCCAGAACTGTGCCCGGTCAGGCACGGTTCGGGACAGTCCCCGCGTGTCCCAGAATGTAGATTTGCCCCAGGCACGGTTAGGGACACGCGCCGTGTGTCCCAAACCCGGTGCCCAGGCATGGTTTGGGACAAGGCACGGTTTGGGACACAACAGGCATGGTTTGGGACAAGGCACGGTTTGGGACACAACAAGGCCCCTTGCCCTATAAAGTCCCCTTGCCCCACTGAATCTGCTTGGAGATGACTTGTTTTTACCTTTATAAAAACGTCACTGATTGAAGAATATTTTTATTCTACTAAGTCTGTGATATACACCAGACGGATGGATATTTTCAATGATAGGAACTTATTTTATTTTGATGTTGACCCTTCCAGGATTGCACCACGTCCAGGTGCATGTTAATCACGTGTCTGTTTGGCCCGCTGAAGAGAAACAGTATCGCCATCGTGCGACTCACGTCGTTTTTACATCTGGACAGCCACGTAAGAAACTCCACATCTCACACGTACCTACATTTCTACTACTTAGCCTTAAAGGTGCACATGAAACAGTAGGTAGGTAAATAACTCCTTTGGCCTAGGAGAAAATGTTGTGTTTCCTATTTCCAGACCGACCCTAGAAAGAATTGCCTACCCTTATAACCTTTTTTTTCTGTGGACCCCTGCAACAGACATAAATGTTTCGAGCTGATTGACCTTCACTAGATGCACGATCTGACACTTGAATGATGAAATGCTGTACAATCAGTTTTCCAACATTGACATTGACAATACAAGTGCCCTTATGCAAGTTTTACTTAAAAGCGTAGTCTGATTGATCGCATTTTCTTTCTTCGCATTTGTCTTCCACCGTCCCTGATCTTGTCTTTCAAAGACGTGTTTAACCTTTCTCCTTTTTATATTTATTTTTATCTTCAAGTTCTTATAAGTTATCAGCATACGTATGTAAGTGCAAAACACACATATTCCATACAGCTTTTCGTGGCCTTGAAGGCTACTTATTTCACCTTTATATATTCATTTTTATCCTTAAAATAAAACAGCATGCTCATGTAAAAGCAACTCGTTTCTCCCACACGTAATAAGTGGCCTTGGGGTAGTCAAGTATCTCACCATTCTATATTTGTTTCTTAGATCCTTCAAAGTAAACAACATGTTCATTTAAATGTGACACAAAACGTCTCATCTTCCCTAAAACATTGTCATGGCCTTGATGGTAAATTACTTCGCATCCTGCGTCTTCTTTTAAGTTAAATTGAGGGTCATAGCCTTCTTTCGTTTTTGATCTCTTTCCTTGATATCGAAAAGTTTCAAGCACAGAACTTTCAAGGTTTTCTTGTCACAAGTGGTGCCGTACGAGTATACGACCTAACATAGATCTGTATACAGCTACGTGTACTGCTAGGTAATAGAATGGGAGATATGCTACACTGGCAGTGATTTTCGTTAATGAAGGTTAGACATCCAGGTAATGAGAAACGCAAGAAAACAGTTACTCAAGCAATAGATTTAGAAAACTGTCAGACAAAGTAGCATCCTCTACCGGGAGTTTTAAAAATCCATCCAGTCACTTAATGAGTAACTGTTTTCGTGTGTATCTCATTACCTGGATGTCTAACCTTCATTGACGCAAAGTCATTGTCAATTTCTCCTATTCTATAATCTATCATTACTCGTAGCCGTGCTTGAATTACTATTATCTTGTGTATGTGTCATTGGTTTATTCAAACACACAATTCAAACATAAAAAATGTAAAAGCACAACAATACAATACACATCACCATCACTTCGCAGTCATTAAGGCTGAATTGTGTGATTTAGAGCGTTTAACAATTATTGTATAGCTAAAAACCTGAACGTCACTCCGTGTATTTTAATATATGTAAAATATATGTAATATATTATATGTAATATATTATTATATATGTAATATATTATTTTGATATATGTAATGCACTGTTTAAAACAAACAGTGCATTACATATATAATTTAAATCATAGAGAATAAGAACTGGCAGACTATACATGCTTGTTTAAAATGTGGAAAAGGTAGTGTGCTTCTGTTATATCGTACGGTGCGCGCTGGCAATTGGTCAAGTTTTTATCGTTATCTCACTTGGGAATGTCTGTAAAAAGATGTTTTCAAATTGTATTTATATCCAGGACGTGCAGAGGAAAGTCATAGAGAGAGACGTTGTGTCCACCGGTGTGTTCGAAGTCCTGGAGATGCCTTACCACATACAGCCCGTTTCCATGTCAACGTCACTCGCACAGGTACGATATAGGAACGTTTATTGCAAATCCATGTCTGAGGGCTAATTGCAAGAACATGATAAAAAAATAATAAGCAGTAAAAATGATAATAAATTATGTAATACCAATATAAAAATAAAATACAATAAAAATATAGATAGTAAAAGTAATACCAATGCTACTTTTGATACATTATTGTTGGGTTTGATTTCTTTTCTGTGTGCAGTGGAGTCAGAAATACCCGACATTTTGCGAGATGTATGAATTGGGAGGTGTTAATAGAAATGCAGTTTTTTTTGTAGGCTGGGAAGATGAATAAAGCTAGGGAAGATTTTGGCGACCACTTCAAAAAAACTTATCTCTTTTGGTGCTATAATGAGGCCAATGACAAATAAAATGCATTTCTTCCTCCACTGCATTTTCTGTTCAATATATGATATAGACAGGTTCTTTGCTTCTTTACGTTTGTTTACGTATTCCTCCAAGGGAAATATTTCATTAAGTCATTATGGCCTAATGTATGCATATTTTTTCCTGGTCTCCACCAGACTCATTTTGCAGGCTGAATAAGCAATAGAAATCGGCCTAAAAAGGGATATCATTGGCCGGAGGAGATGGCCGCCAATATAGAAGCTCCAGGCAAAATAGAGCCTCTATTGGCAGCCATCTCCTCTGGCCAATGATATCCCTTTTTAGGCCGATTTCTGCTGTTTATTCAGCCTGTAAACGGAGTCTGGTGGAGACTAAATTTTTCCCCGTTGTCCAGATCGTGACCCCGATTAACCCTGAGAAGCCGACTGCGGCGAAGAGGTCCGTGCAGACCTGGGTAGTCGTGCTGGCCGTCATGAGCGGGCTGTTACTGCTCATCCTACTCGTGCTCCTGCTGTGGAAGGTTTGTTTGTTTATTTGTTTGTTTATTTCGATCCCCATTAGTGCTTAAGCACTATTCTTCCCGGGGTCAACATAACATAGTAAAATGAAACATGAATAACAAAACTTGTACAAATGGTATATGGAGATTACAAAATAATAAGGTAAATTCAAAATTGATAAAGGTGTGGAAGGTAAGTACTTTGAACTTTATTCGTCACCTTTTTAACAGCGGTGACACAATCGGTCATGCCGCGTGCAGAATACAAAATTAAAAGCACATTATGTTCATTATTAACATTAAGACACCTAACTAACATAAAGAACTAAGCAACTTATAACACATTATAACAAATTATGACAAATTATAGCAAGGCAATGCAAAGGAGTTACAAAAACTGATCATGGTTTATAGTATGAAGAGTGTGATTATCATTATGATACCTAAACATGACAGATGACTTACTTGACTTACATAAATCAAGTTACATGAATATCTGTTTTCTGTTTTTTCAGGCTGGTTTCTTCAAACGGAAGTACAAGCAGCTCATGGACTATAACGGGTACTTGGACGCCGACGACGACGATGATGATGATGAAAATGGCGTCGTTGATTTTTGCAAAGAACGCTGGGAACGGCTGGTGTCAGGTATCATGTCCTGTTGGGACTGGATGGACACAAGACTGACCAATCTTAGGGACCGTTACTACTGACCCATCATCTTTGAATTGACACACTGTACGTGATTGGTCGAGACTGAACAGTCTAAATGATAGGTAGGAGTTAAAGCACGTCGGCAGAACGTACTGCACCTGCGCGAAGCCCGCAATGTGTTGTGCATAGCACTTCGGCAGAACGTCTCATATAAGGTCGTCTTCGCACATATAAGGTTAACATCCCGTCTATAATTTCCAAATGTTGTGTCGGAAAAAAATCGTCTGCAACGGACATAATTCTGATGCAACGGTGATCAAAAATCCAACGAAAACCGCAAAAATCAGGGTTTCGCTCAGGTGCAGTACATTCTGCCGACGTGATGCTAGGAGTCTTTATGAAATGATAGTCGAGTAAAGTTAGCAGCCAATTCGGAACGTAGACATTCCTCATCAGTTCTCACGCCTAACTCAAGACAATACAGCAATTTTTCACATCATATCGTGATCTTTATCGCAAGCCTCCCAAGTTATGGACTATCTCGTGTTTCTTGCCCAGTAACGTGGCATAACTTAGAGGATTATAGCTGCAGGTAGAGGAATGGTTTAGTGTTATCTTATCTGTTTAGTAATTTTACGACAGTTTTTAGGAGACGTTAATAGTAGGTATGAATGATACAAGTCTCTAAGGTCAGTGATTAGAAATGCTCTGTAAATGTCGACCATCACTCGTATTTCCGTGGCGAAACTTAGAAATTTTGCTTTTTCGTTGGGTTTAACATGTGTAAAAGTTGTTGCATTCCATATTTTTGTGTTGCATTCCATGTTTTTATGTATTTTGCGAAGTCAAAATAATGATATTCCAATCATCTAGATCTAATCAAATAAAAGTCATTATATTGCGATAAAATATAACGTTACATACATGTAACGTTATAGGCTATGAAATGTATAAAAATGTATTGGTTCTTTTAAATATGATCACTTGTGCATTGCAATGGTGGCTCTAGATGTGTTTTAACTTTTGAGCTTTCACAAATCATTTGGTATTGAAGACATTTTCGTTATCTTGCATTTTTGTACTGCGTTACTACCGGTGATACTTTGAGAGAGATTTTATTGAACAATGTGCGACTATAGGAACTTGTTGAATGAAATATTGCAAACTAGATATTGCTGAGTATGTTTGTATGATTTCAAAACGCGAAGCCTGCTGGTACAGGAATTTGTGGAGTAAGGATTCCTTTAACTTCTTTAAAGTTGCTAAGTAGGCTCGGATATTGTTTCATGGAAACGTTTAATCAATACAAAAAGTATCCAGACGTAAGTGTGATGTTGTATTTATTTGTTTGTCTATCGATAGTTTTAAAGTTTTATGAAACGAGTTTGAACTGCAATTTCCAACACAACAAATTGGACTCACCCAAATTTTCGACTGTACAACTCCAGTCTTTGTCAAGGAATGAACAATCCACAGCTTCCGTGACGTCACGGAGATAACACACGTGACTCCGTGAGCAGTGGATCATAGGTTGCAGAAAGTCTGTGGCGCCCCCCGTCTCTGTTGAGGGATTGTTGTAATGCCCTGATGTAGATGGCCTCTTTAATCTCTCATTATTTTCATTCAGATTGCTCATTCCTTGACAAAGACTGGAGTGGTACAGTCGAAAGTTTCTTGTGTTGGAAATTGCAGTTCAAACTCGTTTCATAATGACTTCTACCGACACAGATGAACTTCTAAGATAATACTGGTGTATACGTCACATAAGGGTGCAATATAGCCTCGGGCGTCAGGAGGAGCCGTTTAAAGGACGGGATTTTGGCGCCACAAGGTGACCTCAATACGGCTTTCCCCAACCGAAGTCTTAACCTTCACATTCACACCTGGGTGGAGCGAGGAAAGTCGTGTAAAGTGCCTTTCCCAAGGACACAACGTCGGGCGCATGTCCAGACATGTCCAGGGTACGACTCGGGGTCGAACTCGGGTCTCCCGGTTCACAGTCGAATGATCTACCACTACGCCACCCGGCACCACATGTAAATGAATGTGTTTGAGTAAGAATTAACAGAGCAGACCATATGCAAAGGTAACCATTATGCATTTGCTCCGCAAATGTTACTTCTCTAGTTTTATTCATGAAATATGTACATACTCCAGTCGCGGCTTGCAGGCCGCTTTTAATCGAGGGTCTCAGAGCAGATTATCGAAAGGGAACTGAGGCGATGAAGGTATTAAAATCTGCCCTCCAAATTTCCGCTTGTGAATTTTGGTGTGTGATATGGGTAACATGACTTTGCCACAAGTATCGGTCAAGTCTTATCAGTACAAGGTACAGCAATATCCAGCACACAGCCGGTTACTTATTGGAAATCTTCCAATAACCCCGAACCCGGAGGGTACTGCCCTCGTCTCAGGTCAAGGTGTGCGTTAAGCCCATGTCATTTATGTTTATCCGACTAAGGCCTCCTGAAAACTGCCGAACTCCCCCAGCCATAAAAAGGGTCCTTCCCGGTTTGAGTGGTTCAACAAGGACTAAGGGTCCTTCCCGGTTTGAGTGGTTCAAACCTTACAGCCTGGTCTTACCTTACATGTAACATCTTTGTCCATAATATCACCAGGGTCCATAATATCGCCACCTTGAGAAAAAGTGTGCTTAAAGATATATTTACTGCAACATACCCTAGGTATGTATATTTAAAGTGTGCAGGAGTGCATACTAAAATTATGTTGCAGTAAAAATATCTTAAAGCACACTATTTCTCAAGATGAAGATGGCAATATTATGGACCCTGGTGATATTATGGACACCGATGTTACTTACAGGCTGTACTTACATGTATAAAACTGGTGTGTTACGCCTAAAAAGGCGGTTTACCGGTTATGCGAAACTAACAGACCATGGTTAGGAGGAGGTCGGGAGCAAGGTCGGCTGTGGTTGGCTGGTGCTCGGTAACTAGTCGGCTGCGCCAGCCGAATGTTTCAAAATCTAAATGGTCAAAACTGTTGGGAGTGGAGGTTGTGGGAGGTTGGCTGGGGATTGGCTGGTATTCGTCAGTAGGTCAGCACTGTCAGGGAATCAAATATGACTCAAATTCAACTCAAATTTGATTGCTTTCGTATAGATTGAGGGAAGGTTAAAATGTGTGACAGGGTTTTAGATGTGTCTCTTTTGCTGGTATCAGGGGTTAAAAAAAACCTCAATTCCTCATGTACCTGGTATGTTTGTCAAATGTACATAATTTCAAATTTTTCTAGCATATTTCACGAAAGTACTTCTGCAAAAACATGGTAGTCTTTGATACTTTATTGACCATCGAATACCAATTTGTTACCTACAAGATTCACAAATGGTTGATCTGCACTACTGATTTTAGAATGAAAGATCACTATTTACTTAATACTCCTACACTAAATACCAGTCTAAAAGACATACTAGTAACATGAAGTACTGTCGAGTATGTTACTTCAACGTTCAAACTGTTAGGTCGAGAAAAATGTCTTATATTCGACATTTTTCTAACCTCTACAATTCTTCTTAAACATTGAATATAACAAAGCTATTTCTCCTGTATGTCTCAAATGTTACAATATTGAAAACTAAGTATACTAAGTACATTCAAAAATACAAGTAGACATATATAGTTTTCTTTGTATATCATAGTTAGCATGCAATGTGTCCGACATAAGTCACTTTTGCCAAGTTTTACACCTACCCAGGCACTGCATGGTGCACAATGGATACTAAACTACACTTTAATCCTACTAAGGCCACACCGATTTAATTTCATGGATGACATTTACGACTCAAGAACTCAGTACATACGTACAGTGCCGATTCAGAAATTCCGCAAAAAGCCAGCATCTGCCGGCATATGTCGTAAACGTCGCTATGTACTGCCGCAAATTCACAATACCAGCTTTGTATTTCTATGGTTTAGTAGCATTTTTATTTTTGGCCGGAATTTTTTTATTCGCCCGCGCGCACTAGTTTGGGGGTCTTCAGAGGATGTCATCCATAAAATTAAATCGGTGTGGCCTAACTAGCAAGACTATCATAAAAGTTCATCAGAGTAACTAGCAAGACTGTTACAAACATCTTAATAGGCATCCAATGCAATTTCAGGGCAGCAAAACTGCAAATATTCTGAACAATGTCATATGCATGATATTGACACTGTCCCACATTAACACATTTGAATCAGTATTTCATACTTTAGGCATTATAACTGCAGAAACAAGTCTCAAGGTGAGTCCTTTATTTTATGGGCGGTACCCTAAAAATCAATCCCGGTCCTTCCAATACCCGTTTTTCGTCAGAATTTTGGGCATTTTTGCTCCATGAATGTCGATGTACACTGGGGCAGTGTTGTTTCAACTTAGTATGTAGATAAGTGACTAGAATATTGACTTTGAAAAATCTGATTCCAAGCTCTAAAACTGCACTGGGTGCCTTTAAGTCATCAGACGTTGCATCTATCGAACGTAACATCAGGGTAAATATTGAACACCACTAAGCCTGTTACGGATCAGAAAAATATCATCAGTTTTATATCACGCCGTATGAATAGATGGCATACTTCGACTTAACACGGAACATTTTTTACTATTTGTCACAAAAATGTAGAGAACGATACTGACTGATTGTCCGCAAGTGTTACATCACATATGTTAACAACAACATTGTATGTACAAGTGTAATATACAAAGCTACAATGCCTCCAATTTCCCTTATCCAATATGTATAAAATTTGTCCCTTCATTTTTAGTTTACTCAATGCATTTTTGTCCATTATTCTCATGTGACCAAAATTGTTGTTCAGGAATCGGTAAATATTGTCGCTTCTAAAAAATTCTACCACGTTAGGGCCAGATCACATTCACCACATATGACACTTTGATCCAACATATCTTTAAGGACTTACTCCTTCTCAAGTATCTGTGTATTTTTTCTAGATGATACACAGGAGAGGAAACATCAATTGCAAGTATTTTACCGACCATTAGTAGTGCTTTCTCAAGACTGTAAGTCTGTATTCACAAGTGTTGGTACCAAAAGGCATTGTTGGCGAGCCAAGGAGAACTGCATTAAATTTTGTACTCGTGGTATCAATGAACCGTCCTTTGTTGTCTCTGCATCTTCACTTATACATGTTCTTATAAACAACTGGAATAAAGTCACGAACAAACTGGCACGACACAGGTACTTGACATTGTTTCCAGAACTATGCTTAGGCACAGTCTCGGATAGTCCACGTGTGTCCAGAACAGTAAAAGCAAATTTACGTTCTTGGATACGCGAAGATTTAATAGAAAGAACCGTGCCTGCTCTTCACTCTAACTTATTCAGGCATAGGTTGGCACGGTTCTGGATACAATACACCGATATACTAGGTTTGGCACCCGGTTACTTTCTTCCCACGGAGATTCCTGACTGCCCCTCCCACATCCTCACACACTGCGGGTTAATAACCCTACTGTTGGTTACGCCAACTGTTCAACCATTGACGTAAGAGCAGGAGGTGTCTAGTTCGGTTCACTGGATTTCATTTGGTGACTTGTCAGGAGTCTACACACTGTACATGCTTTTTGCGAACGGTGTCAGTGATCTAGCTTGGCTAATCTCCCATTAGTAGAACCTAGTGCATGTGCGGTGGCAAGGCTGTATCCAATGGGCCATGTAGTGCTTCTGAGGTTTATGTGTCCAGAATGATAGCTATATAGTTAGTGCGCCTGGATGAGTTAGATTTTAGTTAGACACGGTTCTGGATAGTCTTCTCTTATCCAAGAACGTAGATATACCACAGGCACAGTTCTGGATATGTATGGACTATCCAGAACCGTGCCTGGAAACAACAGTGGCTAATGCGCACTGCCTGGCCCCTTGGATACTGCCTTGCCACCGTAGTATCACCGTAGTTCTTCTGATATTATAGATATTGAAGATATACAGTATAGTACAATAGTTTCCATATTTGTTGAAGTACTGCATTACAATTACATTGCTGTTTTTTTTCATATTTCTGTGTTGCCTCATATAGTAACAAGGCTCTTCCAAGAAAAAATGTTTGGCACACTATCAATTTTGCACATCTGGCACTCAGTTGGAACATAATATCTTATTTTTAGCGAACAAGCTTGATTAAAATATCGCCGCAAAATACCCCGGAAGGTCCTGTAATTGTGCACCGAAGGACGTCAGCAAAGTGAGTGGGTGGTTCAGTTCATTGGCCTTTCGATGTTAGGTTAAGCCGGACGTCTACGTACATTACATGCTATGTGTACGGCCTTCATGGCAAATCTACAAGCAGAGGTTTGGGGAAAAGAGCGTTACTCTCCATATCTTGTGTATGATATAGGCTCCAGGTTGATATACATCTTCAACATGGCCATATTTGCATTTGGCTCTTACGACGTCATAGTGACACATCAGCACTGCTTTTTTATTTTCTTGATTAATTGATCAATACATGTAGCAACGTATTCTGTGGTCTTGTGCTTATTTACATCCTGGAAATTATGGGTAAGCTTAGAACGTTTTTATTGTTCGGAACTTATAAACACTGGAGACCAATAAAATGATGCCCCTTGTTGTAATCTCCATTTTGTTAGTCAGTTTAACATTGCTACATTGTTCACTGAATTAGGTTACTTTTTAGTAGACCTTTTAAGAAAATGTCACTGAAAATGTGCCAAGAATCATTTGGTAGTTGATTGGCCAATATGACTTTCATGACTTGTATAATGTAACTATGTAATAGATGCACCTTCAGTATTCTTCGAGCCTACCGAAATTGTAATCTTCAAATTGTCACTATTTAGCAGATCTCATAACTGTACGAGTAGAAATCCCCGTGTTAGGGGCAAATGGATGTGCTTGCTTGTGCACTTTAGGCTGTGCACTTTTCAGCTAACTTTGGAATGTAGATTTTGGTTTCATGTTTTTCTCTATACTCATCAGACTCGCTATCTTCAGTGAAGTGCCCCAGTAAAACGTTGTTGTTGAGTCCTATATTTGCTGATGACGCTCTGATTTGATTATGACATTGTTTTTAGATATTGGTCTCGAACGCCGCCATTTTTGTGTCCTCAATAACAACGTTAACAACGGGGCAGTACACTTCGTCTTCCATGGGGGTAACAGGGCGAAACGGCAGGGTCTCACACTGGCCCATGCCGCCGGACGCCGAGCGGGTCAGCGTTACCGCTGTCTTAAAACTGGTGTTACTACCCTTGGCTGACGCCGGGGTTTTCTTAGAATCGGCGCTGTACGGAAACCAGCACTTTGCGCAGATGTTTTGAAAGAGCTTGTGCAGCTCTACTCGAAAGTTCTCCCCCACGAACGTGTAGACGAAGGGATTCATGGCGGAGTTGGCATAGCTGAGACACATGGCCGCGAACTTGAACTGGTAGAGCGGGATGGAGCCCGGAGCTCGCGGGTTCATCACACGCCACAGGTTGATGGCGTGGTTCGGCAGCCAACACAGGGCGAACAGCAGGACGACACCGATCACCATGATGGTCACCTTACGGGTCTGGCTCTGCCCGCCAAGGTTGGCGCTCTCAGGGCGGTTGCAGACCTGAAGGAAGAAAAGAATAACGGATTTATTTCAATGATAAAATTAGAAAGGTAACATTTGCAAAGCAAATGCATAATACTTACCTTCGTATATGGTCTGCTCTCAGTTGTTAATTCCTCCTTAAACACATTCAAACAGAACTCTAAACCCCTCCTAAATACATTTGCAACATAATGTAACCCAACACCAGTTACTATGGTGAGAGACGTCTGGTTCAGATCATTGACCAGGTCAGAGGCCAGTGTTTGGAGAAGAAGAGGAAGAAGCCAAGTGCCTAAAAGATCTACCCGTAACCCCCCTTCCCTAGCTGTTGAGGGTGGGGTTGTACATTCTTTCATATATTGCATCAGTCTCTTGTCAGAGATATTTGGCTTAACGCTACCTGTCGGCCGATCATGGGCATGGCCCCGCAGAAGATGCTGGTTGCCAGCAGTATGGTGTTGTAGGTGATGGAGACACATGTACACCATGTAGGACGTGCCAGAAAATGCGAATTTTCTACATAACTTGAGGCGTCTCTGGTATAATGTGGTCAGAGATAGTTAGCTTACCTGTCGGACGATCATAGCCCCCCAGAAGATGCTGGTTGCCAGCGGATGATGTAGGTGATGGACACCATACTAGAACTGCTGTTAAAATTGCTACAAATTGTGTTGTTTTGCTCGATGAGTCTCTGGTACAGTGTGGTCAGAGATACGTAGTTGGCTTACGAACCAATCTTACTTACCTGTCGGACGATCATAGCGCCACAGAAGATGCTGGTTGTCAGCGGGATGATGTAGGTGATGGACACCATGTGCACCATGTAGGACATGCCAGAAAATGCGAATTTTCTACATAATTAGCTCGATGCGAGTGTGGTCAGAGATAGTTGGCTTACGAACCAATCTTACTTACCTGTCGGACGATCATAGCGCCACAGAAGATGCTGGTTGTCAGCGGGATAATGTAGGTGATGGAGACCATGTGCACCATGTAGGACATGCCAGAAAATGCGAATTTTCTACATAATTAGCTCGATGCGAGTGTGGTCAGAGATAGTTGGCTTACGAACCAATCTTACTTACCTGTCGGACGATCATAGCGCCACAGAAGATGCTGGTTGTCAGCGGGATGATGTAGGTGATGGAGACCATGTACACCATGTAGGACATGCCAGAAAATGCGAATTTGATGCGTCTTTGGTACAATGTGGTTAGAGATAGTTAGCTTACCTGTCGGACGATCATAGCCCCCCAGAACGATGCTGGTTGCCAGCGGATGATGGAGGTGATGGACACCATACTAGAACTGCTGTTAAAATTTCTACAAATTGTGTTGTTTTGCTCGATGCGTCTCTGGTACAGTGTGGTTAGAGATAGTTCGCTTACGAACCAATCTTACTTACCTGTCGGACGATCATGGCCCCACAGAAGATGCTGGTTGTCAGCGGGATGATGTAGGTGATGGACACCATGTAGACCATGTAGGACTGCTGCGCGGCGGCGCTCGGCCACAGCTCCCGGCACAGCACCTGCCCGCCCACCGAGTAGATGGTCTGTCGCAGGGCCACCGGGATGGACAGAAGGAAAGACCCTGAGGAGGAAAGAAGTCGCAAAATATGAGCGATGAATGAATGAATGAATGAATGAATGGTTTATTGGATCATTTCGGCCACAGCTCCCGGCATAAGACCTGCCCGCCCACCGAGTAGATGGTCTGTCGCAGGGCCACCGGGATGGACAGAAGGAAAGATCCTAAGGAGGACAAAAGTCATGACAAACGATTAACGATTGTGCGAATCTGGCGAGTATGGGATAGGAATGAATGAATGAATGAATGGAAGAATGAACCTAATTGCTCGAAAATCGTACATGGTACAATGTGTGGCAGTAGGACGATAATACTACAAAACTTGTCTCCACGTTGGGGGAGTGGAACTCTGCCACCAAGCATACACTAGATCGCTTTTAACAACGACACAGATTCGCACTATCCAGATGCAGACGCTGACAATGATGGCCACCCCGAGCGGTTTACTGGTTATGCGAAACAAACAAACAAACAAACACCGGGCGTGCCTATCCAGATGCAGACGCTGACGATGATGGCCACCCGCGGCCGGCGGAATTCGATGTACGACAAACAAACAAACAAACAGACAAACAGCGGACGTACCTATCCAGATGCAGACGCTGACGATGATGGCCACCCGGGGCCGGCGGAAGTCGATGGACTTGAAGGGGAGGACGATAGCACAGAACCGGTCGATGGACAGCGCCATCAACGTCAGACACGTGGCCTGGAGCGTCACCTACAGACAATACACGGCAATGAGATATCTTTAGGAACACGTCGGCGAAGGTTAGACATCCAGGTAATAAGATACACCAAAGAACAGTTACTCAAGAAACTGGAGATGGTTTTGGAAACGATCTGACGAAAAGTAGGTCTATAACTCTCCAGTGTCACTGACGAAAGGTAGTGGATGCTACCTGAAGCGTCTGACCGTTTCCAAAATCATATCCAGTTGCTTGAGTAACTGTTTTTGGCGTATCGTTAGGAATAGCCTGGGTGCCAGAACATTGTCAGGGCGAGTATACAGTCTAGCTTCTTGGCTCCAGAGCTCAGACAGTTGCCAGGGCCAGTTTACAGTCTAGCTTCTCTGCTCCAGGACCATGGAGCTTCTGGGCTCCAGGGCTCCTCGGCTCCATGGTGGTAGGGCCCGTGTTTTATCCCTGAGAACAGTCTGGCATCCAGGCTACTTTAGGAAGGAACCACAGGGAAAATAGCAGGGACACGTTACCATCTTTAAGTGCCAGTCGACCGACAAAGAGAAAGTATACAATGCTGTGTGGGCAAGCCGATGCTCAACACGTTTGCTCAACAACCGTCCAGAAAAACGCAACCCTTGGAGAGTAAAGGTCAGACATCAAGTCGACATATGCAACAAGTTTGCGGGAGGATGTAAGGTTTAAGGTCAGGTAAGGTGAACACCATGTGTTGAATCGGGCTGCGTCTCTTTTGAGCTTGGTTTCCAAAAGCTCATATTCCGCACATGGACGCTTTGATGACTGGCAGTTTAATACATCTTACGTACACTAGGCTTCACGTTTGAATACACGTGAGAACAAAAAATCTACATGCCAGACACTACTATTCTGAATAAGAAAGTGCCTTAGGATGGTACTTTGTATCAAATCTGACCACCAAGATTAATCAACAGACATGTAAGTACGTTCAAATTAAGGCGTGGGAGGACTTTCCATGTTTTCGCTAATCTGTGGTTACTTCAGAATCGCCCCATGTTGCTCTATGAAAGGGGAGTGATTATTAAAGAGCCTTTTAGAACCCACTAGTTCCTAAGTCATTATTAAAGGTGAGTTGAGTAAGTGTTATGTAAGACTGTTAGAGCGTGGTGATTCATATTGGCTACAGTGGCTGTCTGAGCCCAAGTTTTGATCAAAGACCTAATCACCAACTCACTAACCTTTCGATCTTTCTCTTGTACGATGTAGGGGAGTTTTGATTGCACGTATGTCGAAGCAAAGCTTTACCAGACTCAAGTTCTCTAGACCGAGTGGCAAAAACATTCAAAGCCATGGGCTAGACGTCGGAGAAAGTCAGACAGTGCAAAGATAGCGTAAACGTTGAAGGGATATTCAGTATTTACATGTTCTAGTTAGATATCTCACAGATATACTCTTATACGATGCAGGTTTTGATTGCTCTTATTTTGTAGCAAAGCTTTACCAGACTCAAGTTCTCTAGACCGAGTGGCAAAAACATTCAAAGTCACGAAAAAGTCGTCGGAGAAAGTCAGACAGTGCAAAGCTAGCGTAAAAGTTGAAGGGATATTCAGTATGCACATGTTCTAGTTAGAAATCTCACAGATATACTCTTGTACGATCTCACAGATAGGAGATCTATGCACATCTCGTACATCTGCTTAAGAGCTTTCACGGAGATAGAGGACTAAGATTGAGATTGTGGAACCGTTCCAGGTAGATTAAGGGTCACGCTGACGTTCATTTAAATTCACTGTCACCAGTTGTGAAGCAACAGAAACAGATCACCATATCTGACAAGGTTTGAGATTACAATTGATAAAACCTACAAATCTTATCTTACCAGAGTAAGGCTGCATAGGTCGTGGTTTCCGGACCAGATAGTTATCAGCTGCGAGTCCCAGCTTACGTAGAAAAGTAGTATAATGATGTAGATTGTGTGATTGGAGTCTACATATAATGGGGAGACTAGCATTATCAACAGTGTTCTTGATGTTATCCTTTTCGAAGTATAACCTTGATGACTTTTGCAATACCGTAACTTTAGAAAGATAGCGACTTATTATTTTTTTTACTTTAAGCAACTATGAAAGATTTACAGACCTTTTAGTACCACAAACAGGAAGTCGTTATGTACAGCAATCAATACAAACATGTACTAAAAATGTAGTAACGATGACTCTTCTCTTCTACAGGTCACTGAGCTTGGGACTAATCATCTCTTATAATTGTATTGATTATTAACGCTTGATTGCGTGTTACGGACTCATAGAGGGATCGGGCAGTTAATTATAGATCCAATAGTTGAGGCAAAGACAACGATGAAATGAGTAGTGAATTAGTTACAACGTCACTTATTATTCTCGGGCAGATTAGCTTTTCTCTACCATGTCAGACCTTGAATCGTATCAGGGTCTACGCACACCGTATTTGCACTTGATTAAACACCGGTGGAGTGTTCACAATTGGAATTGTATGACGTCCATAAATTGACATGGATCATGATGGGTATGAACTAATGAGATTTTTTGGTCAGCAGATGATCCGCCGTCTGTGTTATCCCTAGTGATAATACTTGGTTAGATGCCATTGGTGAAAAGAAAATCAGTCGCAGGTCCAAATTTCCTCTCAAAGCAAAGTATTCAGAACTAGCTATAGTAATAGAGAGAGTCAGAAGAGGGGTTGGAGAGCCCAGTGTGCACCGGTGGAGATTAGGTGTCGAAGTCAATTTTTTGTCTAGGTCGCTCAAACTCCTTGGAGTAAGAGGCCCACAGCTTAGGACTGCAGTCAGGGGCAATCTTGAGGCGACAGAGCCTCAATATAGCTGTGGTTCCGTCGGGAGGATTTGGACAAGCTACTTGGACACAAGTCGGGGACTGATCACCCCGGCTGGGTCGCCTGGAGGAGGGTGTCTGATGTTGAAAGACCAGAAACACCCGATAATTCCAAGTACATCACTGACTATGTGTCCTTGTTTGCACCCTCTAGAATGAATAAGAGGGTCAGTCAATGACCCTATTCCGCTGTAAGCCTTAGTGGTATTACTTGGTTAGATTGCAATATTAGAGAAAAGAAAACCAGTCTCAGGACCTTCCCTATAGTCGCAGGTTTTTCTGCCAGAACGGACTAGACCTTGCGTCCCACCTCTTCATGGGATAAGCTGGATAAGCACACAGACATACCCGCGTAGTCGCGTCTAGCCATTCATCCCACTTCTACCTGATAACGGCGACTCTTCCATGTAAGTCTCTGCGCAATAATGGGTCATTGACATCTGGGAAAATTTGGGGTCTTTTACCGCATGATTAAAGAACACAGCCTTGATTAAATGAATTCGAATGACTCTCCAGTCAGAGAGAGGTTTAGGTTTTTGTGTTGAAGAGTGTGAACATCGAATAGTTTGAATACGATGAACATCATTTTTGTACTCCTTTGCTTCGCGTCTTTGCTTCTCCTTTGTTAGCGTCTGAGAATGCAATTGTCAAACTGCTGCTCCGCTCCGAGACCTTTTGCTCTAGCCCATTCTGGAGCCATTACTGTAGACTGGTCCGCCCACCGTAAGGGCTCGGCAGTCTTTTATCTATTTGTACCTACTTAGATGTTTTATTTTAGATGTGTTTGTGTAATGTTGTGTGTCTGTGCTATGGGCCATTGAGCCTGAAATAAACAATAAATAAATAAATGAATGGATGAATGCAAGTACGACAGGACTTGACAGAAGTCAAAACATACAGACGGTATATAGGCTCACTGTTGACCAGTTTCTGTTCCCACCGATGCCAATGTGTGTCTAATCTCACTAAAAGAAGCTGGACCACATTGCTGTCGGCGCAACGAATCCCACTAGCCTTATTTAGCATTACTACTCGGGGTTTGCACTTATTGGGCATAACTTTTAATATAATCATAACTTTGAGGTCTTCTACTCAAAGTCTCCCCATTAAGTGATTGCGCCAGTCTTCCACCTGTTTTCATTCATAGAGACATCAATTGACACAAATAAATGGACAAAGACAAAGAATCTTACAAGGACAAAGGATAGATGGACAAATACAAAGAATCCACAAGTCTTACACAACTCGCCGCCACTTGTACATTATGGAAAATTAGAAGAAAAGACATGACACTCAAACTTAGGAAGAGTTACTTTACAGATGTACCTTATAACCAAGGGCACGTACGAAAAACACTTTTATCTCCTAAGTGACATGACATCAAAACCATGTTCTTAAAGGCCGGGATTTTTGCCAAACAGAAGAATAAGGTTACCTTGGAAATGGTCTCTGCGCCCCAAGAGATTTAAGTGTGGTACGCTGGATTTTTTATTTAAATTCATAAAGTTGTAAGGGCTACATGCAGGAAGTGTCAAGCGACGCATCTAAAATATGATATGTCAAACTTTGAGAAAGCAGCTTTGTGACCTCTGTGTTACTGCATGCATGTATAGTCTATTAAAGAGGCTTAACAAACGTTCATATAACCTTAGGAAATCCGCACATATTATCGCAATGGTGAGGAGTGTAAGTACTGCGAGCCACAAGAAGGAAAAGATTGGCCAAATGAAACACGAAGTGACGTAACCACTAATACACTATAACAAAATATCTCTTCTGGGGCGATATCGTCTACGTGACAAGTCTCACTGGGTCAGTCTACTGAGGAAGACCAGAGTGACTGGTCGAAAGCTCTAGCTGAGAGAACTTTTGTGTTGGATCAAAAGTTTCTTTTCCGCTAGAAAGAGCTCATGGTGTATTGTAATTATATAGTGCATCTTTAACTTCAATTTTATCAGCATTAGTCAAATTTAAATCACCGTGGTGACCAATTACTTGAGTCGGGTGGGGTCGTGTGGCGTAACGGCAGAATTTTCGACTCGGAACCAAGAGGTCCCTGGTTTGAGTCCTGCCATGCCACCGATCTTGTGCCCTTGCGAAAGGCACTTCTTCCCTCACTTAATCCAGTGAAAATGAGTATTGTCCTGTCCCGTATTTGTTCTCTGCGTTGGTGGCGGCATAAAATAAGTTGA